ATTTGCCTAAGTGACACAGCAAATAAATGATGGAAGGAATTCGTACCCAGCAGTCAAACTCCAGAGCTCTTGTTCTTAACTGTTAGATTACACCACTGTCGTGAGTTGAGGGGAAGAGACTGGATGTGAACTGCATTTGTCCATCTTGCAATGAACATAGATGTAAAGGTCACACTTGGGTTCACTCCTACCTGACCTTTATTTGTGACCTTAAGTGTCTTATCACCATAGCATGTAACTGGTTATTCTGTGATTTGGTTCTTCCCCTAGATCCAAAGAAATGAGTAAGTGATGGGTTAGTTACATCTTCTTACACTGAGGGATTTGGTGTTACCTAGCTGAGGCCAGGAAGTGGGTCTGTATATACCTGCCCTTCCCAGTGCTCTTTGGAGCAGAAGTAGGAGCTTGTCCCATCTCTCTTTGTTACTGTTGATTTTCTCTCTAATACAACTGGTAATGATGAGAAGCAGAGCAGTGTATACATGGTGTGCTTCTATATGCCATGCATTTTACATGAATTATCTCATCTAATCCTTAAAATAACTCTGTCAGGTAGTCACTCTTATTTTATAGAAACAGAGAATTTAGGAAACTTGAACTTAAGTCACCCAATTACTAGGTGGTAGAGCTGGGATTTGAATACACGTTCTGGCTCTAGAGTCCATTATCTTAACCTCTACCCTCTACTGCTTCCGTTCCTTTCTTAACCTGTACAGAACATAGCATGGGACAGGTGGCTTAGTAGGGTCAGTCCTATTTTTCCCATATGAAAAAGAGATGATTTTGACTACTGGGCTAGGAATAAGGAGGCCTGTGGTCTTATCTGGACCACGTCACCAACTTACCATGTCCAGGACTTCACTTTTCTCAGCCTTGTCCTCACTCATACGCTAGGTGGTCTCCCTTCTAACTGACATTCTGTGATCATGTGAAGTGAGGAGAGTAACACCTGCTTAGTTCCTTGATTTTGGAGCAGTGGTGTTTGTGAGGTTTTAGGGAGCCTGCTTTGTGTAGGGGAAGATGCCAAATTTCAGGGCAGAGAATGAACCTCCTTCCTGAAGAAGATAGATCCAGGCTCTTTTTGAGGCCGGTTGCCTAGGGAACCTAGCCTCTGGCCAGCAACTGCCAGGAATGCTTTGGTTGAGGGTTGGGTACAGATAACTAAAACAAGCAGTACATTGAGGTTTCACTTTCCATCCCTCCCCCCACCAGGCTACCTTTCCCTTGTCCAGCTACTAGCTTTATACACTTCCTGTAAGTTCGGCTAGATTTTAAGTACTTAAAAAGTATTATTTAATCTTTATAGTAATGAGAAAAGTACTGTTACTCTGATTTTACAAATAAAGTGAGGCAAATAGAGTAAAATAGTTTGTCTATATGTACTCAAGTGGAAGGTGGTATCCAATCCACTAAATTGTAGTGCTTGGTCAGAACTTGAAAAAAAAGGAAAAAAAGGCAGAGGAAAGACTGCTTAGTTATTAATTAGTGGTTTTGTTTGGTTTTTGTTTTATTTAGAATGATGATAGATTCTTAGGTCAGAAAGGCCATTTAAGGAAATTTAGTCAGTCTCCTTGTCTCCAGTGTGCTGCTCAATGCTTGCTATTGTTCCCTTGACAGATTATTATCCAAGTTCTTTTTGAATACTTCCATTGCTGGGGAGCTCATTGCTTATTGAGGAATCCCATTATATTGTTGAATAGCTCTCATTGGTAGAAAATTATTTCTTGTTTTGAATTGAAATCTAATTGATACAACTTGTCATCAGTTTCAGGCCTGTACCCTGGAGCCATCCAGGAGAAATACAATCCATTTTCCACATTGCCAGTCTTGGGAACATTTGAAGGCACTCTTCCTATGTTTAAGGCATGTTTGCAGTTTTGTCTTAGCATCTAAACTTGCTTTCAATTCAGATTGGGCACAAAAGTAATCTCTCTTACCATTTGTAGCAAATCTGTACTTCACTTCTTGTGATTAGTTAGGCACAAAGGTGTGAGCCCTTCTCACATCCTTGGATAATGAATGGCTAGTAAACTGAATCTATACCATTGTATATGAGTCTGGAGGTTTGTAGTTTCCTTCTCTTGCAATCTCTAAGACGCCAGGCTGCTGCCCTCTGCACCCTTGTTAGAGCTCACAAAATGGCTGGAAGTTGATGCAGGCTCTTGACAAAACTGCGTTTACTTCATTAGGCCACTAGGTGATGAACAACTCGCAAACACAGACAGCCAGGGATGGTTGTGTACCAGTTTCTGTTTGTACTTGGAAAGGTAATCAGAAGTCATCTGTTAAAACCTCATTAAAAGGTTTTTCTGGCGGAAGGGAAAACATGTCTTGTCTTGTGCATACGTTATCTTTCCTAGCTTTGTTCCAAAAATTTTAAATATTAATTTGACTAGGATAAGTCTTTGAGTAATTTTTCTTAGAAATGGGTCATGGATGGTACTTGCAAAATCCAGGATTCTTAAATAGTAGTCCTAGTCTATACAATCTGTATGCAGCTTTCTACTTTCTTTAGTTTCTAGTGATACAGATGAGAAGTCCAATGCCAGTTAGATATTTTCCTTTGTAAGTAATAACCTGTTTTTTCTTTTTGCAAGTTTGTAGATTTTTTCTTCATGGTTAGGGTTTTATCATGATATGCTTAGGTTCATATCTTTTTAAAAAACTCTGCTTGTCACTTGAACCTTTTCTACTTAAAAACTTAAGTCTTTTCTTAGTTCAAGGAAGTTTTGTTGCTTTCCTTCTATCGGTTTCCAACCTCCTTTACAGATGAGGAAACTGAACCCAAAAAAGTTAAGTGATTTGCCCAAGGTCACACAACTAGTTAAAAATGGACCTCAAGCAAATAAAATGACTTTTGATGAACTAGGCTTTCACTGTGGTGAACATCATTCTAGTGAGAGGGCCATCAAGAGCAACTTGGAAATTTTTTAGTGAGACAGGAAAATTTTGCCAAGTGTTTATGCAGAGATGAAGAAGGAAGAGGTAATGAAGAGGTAGTATAATTCATTATGGTTAAAATGTGGCCCATTTAGAGGACTGCAAAATTCACAAGTTATTGTAATATCCCACTTTTTGGAACTACCCCAAAGCTCTAAAACTTAAAGCCAGGAAGTTGATTGAATATTTGGAAAATTAGATACTTCATTGTCAGGAGTTGGGTAAGCGTGGTCATGCCCTATTGTAAATATTGGAAAGCATTTAAGTGTTTGAAAGCTTGGAGACAGACATCATAAACTGTCTTATCAGAGATCTGGTTTCTATTTTGAGTTCTAGCCTAGGACCCTTTTTTGCTGGAAACTACCTGTTCCTGACTCTGTTGATCTTTGGATTTCCCCAGCCCTTTGGTGCCTTTCAGTTTTGAAATGAAACCTATTCCAGAGGGTGAGGTCAGGTACAAAGAAGACTTTGACAGCTCACACTAGGTTGTTTTCTTTCTGGAGCTGTCTGGTATGTGACTGCGTGAGGCACGAGGTATAGCAGGCTCTGAGATAGTCTAATTTGACGGTGAGTCAGCTGTTGGGTAAGGCCTACTTAGTGTCATTTCTCTGGTAACCAGGAAAACATGTAGACCAAGTAAGTTGTCTTTCATCCTCAGGAAGTTGAAAGTTAGGAGCACAGTCACCAGAGACCTGCCATGGTCTCTCTGCCTTTGGTTTACTGAAGAAGGAAAAAGTTTCAGTCTTTTCTCATTTATAGAACCTCCTTTCCAGAAAAGAGCCAAGTCCCTGGCCTCTCTGCTTTTCCAGCTTCTCAGCTTTTACACCATGTCTCCTGGAATCGCTGAAGTGAAGTGACTCCTCTAAATACCTCTAGGCACACCCACCCACATGTCTTGCCCCCAGCCCCTCCACAAAATGAGCTTATCCTCTTCCCTTTGCTGTAAACTTGGTTTCAACCACTGTACGGCATTTCTCTTGGAACCTTTAAAAGTAAAACTGGCTCTTTCTTCACCTGACCCCATACTGCTTCCCCCTGATTCTGACTGACCGCCCCATCCCCCAGCACTATAGAGCTGCTTCCAGACCTTTAAATACCTCCTCCACCTTGAGAATTTTGCTGGCCAGCAAGGCCTCCTCATTTCTGTTCTTGAAGCTTGGCATCTGTATTCATTTTCCCATTTTCATTTAGAACTTTGTTATCTTACCTTCTGGGGCTCTGGACCAGGCTAGGAGATCGGTGGCCAGGTTGAGCCTCAGGTCAAGGATTTAGGGTAGAGCATGAAATTGGGGGGCTGAATGTTAATATCTCAGTTGTGGGCTGATGGGAACCTGGAATATCTGAACATCAAGATCAGTCGGGGGTGGAAAGGATGGAGAAAATTCAGTAATTGAAGCAAAGGATGACTTTTGTAGGCTCCCCCATCTGCCCATTCAAAAAAAAAAAGGTTAAGAGTTATTTTTTAGGACACTTTAAGATTAACAGCAAAATTGAGAGGAATGTGCAGAGATTCTCATTATTTTTTGAAAAAATGATCTTTAATTTTTAAATTTTACAGAGAACATAGTAACCCCCCCAAAAAAAATCAAAACATAGATATTTTGAATTCCAGCTCCCCCATCACACAGACTCCATTTCCATTATTTCTGTATTCCCTAGAGGTAATGTGTTAGTGGTTTGGAGTGTACCTTCCAGACATTTTTCTTTGTGTTTACATATGTATGCATGAACCCAGAAAAACTGTGGTTTTTGTGTTTATTTTCACAAATGGGGTCATATTTTATGTATCATTCTGGTATTTCTTTCTTTTGATTCAGTACTATGCCTTGACAGTATTCCATGTTGGTACTATTACTTTTCATTTTTTCTGCCTAATATGTAACATTTCATAGAATAGACATACTGTGTTTTATTTAGCTATTTTCCTATTGAGGGACATTAAGGTATTGTCCTTTTTATTGTTATAAATGATTCTGACATTTAAATGTCAGCATTCTGATCCTAAGCCTTTTTTTTCTTTTCCTTGCACTCTCCCTACGTGATCTCAACCTCTCTGACAGCTTTATTTACCATCTACAAATGGATGCCGTTCAAATCTCTCTCCAGACTGCTTATGTAAACAACTCCACTGGGATGGTTTGTGGACTTGGCAAAATGCAGCCTCCTGCTCTTCCCACTTGCTCCTGATCCAGTGTCCTGTCACAAACAGTACCACCACCTACGTAGTAGCCAGGCACAAGCCGAGTAGTCACTGTAAGTCCCTCCCCTCCCCACCGCTCCCCTCTTCTGACAACCCGCCACCAGGACTTGTCCTCCCTAGTATTTCTTGAATCCAGTTGCGTTCTTTCCTTCTTCACTGCCAATATCCTGTACCTTAGTGTCCTAATTTATAAGCATATTTATGAAGATTAAATTAATTAACATATAAAATGCTTAGAATGGTTGGTTGTTCAGTTCTCTGTGAATGTTAGCTGTTATCAGCAGCATCATTTCTTCCCCACCCCCTTTTTCATAACACTTTTCAATATTTCATATTTTTCTTGGTTTATTCACATATTTCAAATTCAAATGTAAATTTTCTGAGAACAGGGATATTTTCTGTTTTATTCACTGTTGCATTTCTAGCCTAGGACAATGCATGGCATGTTGTAGATACTCAGTGAATATTTGTTAGGTGAATGATAAAACAGCTTCATATGTATTGTAAGGCTTTTCTTGGTCTCCCCAGCATCATCTGCCTCAGGAAACTTTGTACCCTGGCCTACACCATCCCCGACCCCAGCTCATCCCATCTCTTCAGATGTTCTTTCTTGCTGCAGGACCTTTGCATATGCTGTTCCTTCTGCTTAGAACACTCTTCCTCAAATGTCAAACTTCTTGAAAAATCTTTCCTGCTACTGCCTAGGTATCTCCTATTCATCCTTTAAGTTTAAGCTTCGGTGTAACCACCTAATTAGCTTTCTTAATCTTAGAGCTCTGTATGCATTGCCTTTAATTATCTTACATATTGTAATTATTTGTCTACTTTACTAGACTTTAAGTTCTGTTGGGCAGAGGTGAGGTGGAAGGATCCCTTGAGGTAGGGGTGGTGGTTAGGAGGGATGGAGTACTAGGGTTATCACCTGAGGGCTAAGAAAGGTATGCCTTATAATGTCAGGGTGAGGTCTAGACATTTGATCCTAGTTCATTGTCATTCTCCTTATTCCATCTTTGGCGATTCCAGTGTTTGCCTAGATGAACCATCTAACATGCTTGAGGTGACCCATCTAATATGCTTGTCTCTCTCTAAGACATAAAATCAGGGTTAAACTTGGCAGGGGACTTGCCTACAGACGGGGCATTGATGCTGAGTTCAAGGATCTGGGAGGTAGATTATTTACTCTGAGTGGCTGATGGTAGAATAACTGAGAGTAGAGTGGAATCCTAAGCAAGGAAGGAAGCAAAAGATCTTTGGGATAAGGTGAGGCAAAGATAAATAGGAAGATGAATCATTAGGTCAGAAATCTAGAGAATCAAGATAGTGGGTGGAGTATAAGAAGGGGCAGGGCAAGCAGTCAGGATTAAGGCCATAAATAATCATGGGTATTACTTAAATCATCTTTTGGCATTCTTACCTCTTCAGTGTAGAACCAGCTTTTAGATTATAAGAAGGATCAGTTGACATGCAAGGGTTTGAACTAGGTTGCCTACTACTTTGTATTTTATGTGCTGTTTATTAAAGTCAAATCCCTAGATATCCTACCTTACCTCTCCCCCCACCTCACTTCAGTTTCTGTTCCCAAGAGCCTACGTTTCCTGCTTTAAATGTACTAGTTAGCTCAGCTACACCATCTTTGGGAAAAGCTTCCTGTATAGACACCTGCAACAATTCTGGCACACCCTTCAGGTAGGTGAGGATGCTCCCTTCAGGTAGGGCGAGTGCTCCTGTGACTGCATCCCCCCACCAAAGCAGACATAGGAGCTGGCCTCAGCAGCTGCTGCCTAACCCGAATCTGTGGAATTCCTCTGAGTTCTGGAGATGGACGTGTGAGTGTAGAGTATAGGGTGGGACTCCGTCGGTTGGCAGTGGAAGATGGGCGGGATGTGCATCAGTGGTAGGATCTGAAGATGTGTAAGCATGGGCTTGGCATTTCGGTGAAATGGTCCTTGAGTTTGTGGCAATGTTAGGGGGCTCTGACGTGCTATGTGGAGAGTCTTGGTGAGTAGTGCTAGTCATTAGCTCTTCGAGGTGCTCTGTATGTTTCCTTCATAGCCTGGAGCCCTTCTGCAGACTGATGAGTAGCCGGCATTGTGGTGGGTGCTGAGGCTGGGGGGATCATGGTGATAGAAACAGTACTCACTAAGGAGGGGTATATTCTCTCTTGAAGGCTGGATGGAGTGATTGTGTAAACATACTGGGGAGTGTAAGGCCCAGTCTCTTGGTCTGTGCGAGGCATCTGCATGCCCCTCTTAGGGCTCTGCTGGGCAAATCAACCTCAGAGAACCAGAGATCAGGAGTGTTGCGAGTGATTTCCTCAAGAGCGCTCCTTGTCTTTAAATCCTCTGCTCTCTAGGCCCCATGCTTTGATGTCCTGCCTCCTATTTTCTTTGTTGGGGCCTTCAGATTTCATAATCCATTATGACTCCCCTTTCTAGATTACTCCATACCTAGCTTGACTCTTGACTATATGTAGTCTCCTAATTTTGATATTGCCAGCCAACTTCAAGTGAGGGCCTTTTCCTCTACTAGCTCTGTTTATAGAGCTATGATTTTAAAGCTTTAATATATCAGAATTACAGGGGGCATGGTGGGGGAGCTGGATACTTACTTAAAATGCAGATTCCTAGTCTCTACTCCTAGCTATTCTGGTTTGGTAGCTTTGGAGTGGTAACCAGGAATCTGCATTTTGGTTGGGCTGGCTTCTCAAGTGACTTGGTAGGAGATGATAAACTAAACTAGAAGATTCGGCTGATCCTCCCCACCCCTAAAGGGGAAAGAAGGGTATTTGAACCCTTAGATCCTAAGGATCTAGGATCCTTAGTCTGTTACCTGTCATTCAGTGGGGACAATGGATAACTGTCTCTATGTACTGGTACCTCATTTTCTCATTGCCGTGGTAGGCATGGAGCACAGATGAAGTAGAGGGCCTTAATGACTCCCCTGTGGCTGATCAGTACCTCTGGGATTTATAAGGGCTTCAACTTTAGACTTAGAAAGCAGTCCAGAACATAGACCTTGAATGCTGCCAGTTGCACTTCGTGTTTGTCTCTGGGGTGTCTCACTTTACTGTGCCATTGACTCTGCCCTAATATAGGCCATCTTCATTTGGTCTCCAGTCTGTCCTCACTCCCCATTGCAGCCATCCTCTATATAGATCCCATTGTCTACCTATAAAATAACCCAAACCTCTCTTCCTTCTTCTCAAATCCTCTGTTGCATTCCATTACCTATACAATCAAGTCCACATATCTCAGGTTGGAATAAACAGTCTTGCACAATTTGCTCCAAATTGGGTCTACAAGGCCCAGCAAGATATGGTCCTTGCCTGTTTCTCAAATCTCATCCCAAGCTCCTCTCCTCCTCATCTCCTGCAGGCACCCTTACCTGCTTGCAGTTCTTTGACCTCTTCTTCAGCTCCCTGGCTTAAGGGTTTTTGCAGTGCTATAGCTTCTACCTAGAAAATTCTTTACCCTGCTCTTCACCTCATTAACCATCCCTTGTCTTTAAGTGTCAGTTAAGCATTATCTCCTTTTAAATGTCTCTTCTGGCCACATTAAACAAAGCAACTCCATATTATTCTCTATCTTTATACCCTGTTTGCTTCCTTTAGACCATTTTCCACTTTATTGGTTTGTCTTTCTCTCCTACTAGATTATAAGATCCATGAGAGCAGAGACTGCTCACAGATTGTATCTTCAGAGTCTAGTGCATAGAGGCACTCAGTAATTATTTGCTAAGTTGCCTTTTACCTTCTTGTGAGTACTTGTGCCAGTGCTTTGTGGCTCTGCACAACTCTTACTCTTTCTGTATGTTTTTGCCTATGGCGGAAGCATCTGTTCTCACATCAGTTTGGTCAGATTCCTTCTTGCCCTGTATCACTTCTCTAAGTAATTCTTTGACTTCCCCAGGCAGTGCCACTTCAGCTGAGACAGCACTTGGGACCCCGTAGGTGGACTTTTCACCCTGCGTTGTGATTTCACCTGTTAGAGACAGATGACACATATTGTCCTTAGTTTATAGATGACAACCCAGAAGCTCTGAGAGGTGGATTAACTTGGAAATGGCAGAACTGAGATTCAAACCCCAATGTGTCTGTAGTGCTCTCACTCATTCTGCCTCACTGTGCTCTCTGAAAGAAACCATATAGCAGACCAGAGACACTGTAGTGAAAGAGGTGCTTTAAAAAAATTACTTAGGTAATGGAAGTGTGTGTATATATATATAATTTCCTCAGAGATAAGCACAGTAAAACATACATACTATTGACAAACCATTAAAAGGATGGAGTAAAGGGTGACCATAATATTCAGAGGATGATAGGTATTTCATGTGTTTCCTTGATCATATCTTTGAGTTGTGACTCCTTGTGACAGTGACAAAGTCAGTAACCTAGTAGAAATGAGCCAAGGTGAAGCACTATTAAATTCAAACCAAAGCAAATATTAATCACCATTCGTAGTTGCTCGGAGGATAAAGAGTGAGTCTGAACATTTTTGTTGAGGGGAAAAATATGCAGAATTGGTATGCAAATCCTTTAACACGTGTTGCTTAAAAAATATATCTCACAATATATTGATAAGGGACTTGTTGAGTAAATTATGATTAATATTACCATGTTATTAGACTATTAAAAAGAATAAGACACACACACACACACACATGGAAAAATCTCCAAGACCTATCAAGAGAATACTAAAGTGAGGTGCAGAATAGCATTGTAGCATGCTAGTATTAGTGTTTGTATGGAAGAAAAAGGGGAAGACTCCATATACTTGTTATACTCTGGAAATTTTTTTAAAAACATCTTTTTGTGTTGTTGAAATTTTTTTTTTAACCCATGTGTATATTGCCTTTTAAAAAAAATCATGGTAAAAAATATAACAAAATCAGCATTATTAACACTTCCTCTGGGGCACTTTTCTGACACCTCAGACAAGATCAGATTCCTCCTTCAAACGCTTTGAAGGCAACATTCTTAATAAATATAATTTATTTTTTTTAAAACAGCAAAAATATTTCACTTTGAAATGTTTTTAATACATTAAAAGATACAGGAAACAATACACCTACATCCATGTACCCACCACTGAGATTTAGACAGATGTTAATATTTTGCTTTATAATTCATGGTTTCAGTTTCACATTTGTACAATTACATGATTGATATCTGGCCCCAAACTGGACTGTAGGTTTCATGAGGAAAGTTGAAACTATGATATTGTATTACATCTCCAGGGGCTAGATAAATAGGAGCTGTGAAATACATATTTCTTGAATGAATACTGATAGGGTGTAATTTATCTAGTAACTTCATATATTACTGGTAAGAGTGAAAACTGGAACAACGTGAAAACCCAGATGGTAGTAAAGACTTAAAAATGACCACAACTTTTGACCAGATAATCATACTTTCCAGATTTCTAACTTAAAAATAAATCCTCAGTGTTATAAAGTTCTGTGTAATAACATATGTACATAGAACATGAGCATGAGTAAATAAAAAGTACTATCTAAGGGGAAAAATATATGGGAGATAATACATCAAAATGATAAATATAACTGAATTTTGATGGTTACTGGAATATTTATTTTTCAACACTATTATTTGCAGAATTTCCTGTGTAATAATGGCATGCTAATTTTGTAATGGAAATGCAGGAATTTTAATAAAAGCTGTCAATGTTTTTGACAAAAAAAAAATGTAACAAAAGTTTCCATTTTCACCATTTTTAAGTGTACAGCTCAGTGTTGTTAAATATATTCACAGTGTACTAAAGATCAGCAGAACTTACTCACAAAAACTGAAACTTACACTCATTAAACAACTCATTTTCCCTTCCCCCTAACTCCAAGTTAACCACCATTCTGCTTTATATGTCTATGAATTTGACTACTTTAGATATCACATGTAAGTGGAGTCATGCAGTCTTTGTCATCTTGTTACTATGTTTTTTCACTTGGCAGAGGTTTATCAATGCTGTACCACGTGACAGGATTTCCTTTTTAAGGCCGAGTAATATTCCACTATATATATCCAGTCCACATTTTCATTGTCTATTTATTTGTCAATATATTGCCTTTTATAAATTTTTAAACAGTACTTCACCCCGATAAATGTGATTCTGAAAAGTTGGATAAAGTGCGCATGTGTGTGTACATCACACACATGCACGCAGTAACGGGGACAGGAGTTGGGGCAGTTTTAAATTTATCTCCTTAATCTTTACAGAGAACAGAGTGATCCTTTTTGTCTAATGAATGATCTCCAACTTCATGTCTTGGATTTTTATATTTGAGATTTTTCTTGAAACATATCTGCTAAGGATGGAACAAAACAAGGGGAGATTGTGTTTGAAACTAAAGATAGTAGTATATGTCAGGATACCCCACCATCTATCTTACTTTACCACCTCTCCCATTGTCTTAACTAGCATCTCTCTTCTTCCTGTTCCATGCTCTAGAAATCTTGGAGCCTCCTTTTTAATAACATGTTTTCTGTGTTGTGAATTTGCCTTCCCAAATAGTAAACTTTTGAAGGCAGGAAGCATGTCTTATGATTATATCCTATAGTGATGGGAGTAATAGAAGTTGCTCAAGAGCTACATATTCAAGAAAGACAAGAGGTGGTGAGAAAGAGGCTCCTCTGCTGAAGAGATGATTGCTTTTGGTTTTTCTCTGACTCTTGTTTTCTTCACTAGTGAAGAATTTCTTCTACTTGCAGACTAAGTATGTTGGAGTGTGTGTCAGTGCATGTGTGTGACTGAGTGGGTGTGAGGTGTTCCCTTCTGAAAGCCCAGGAGACAGGAGAAGCTGAAATGGGACCTGAAGGCCTGTGGCCTGAGAGTATGTAATGAGACTTTGTGTTGCAACCCTGAGGGGAATCTCAGTGTTTTACCATCTTCCTAATGTCAAACTTAGGTATTTAGCTGTCAGCAGGGCAGCTGGACCTGTATGTGCCTTAAACTTCTTAAATTTAGTAGCACATAGTAGGACTGTTTGATGAAAGTGATTCGTCATTTTTGGTGAGAGTAAATGAAAGCATGTACTTACCACAGGGCCTGGAATATGTTGATACCCAAGAGGTGACAGAGAGCTTGTAAAAAATATTTTGAAACAGTAAAATCTTTCCCTAGGTCCCCTACCTGTACTCCTGCCCTCTACTCCACCTTCAGGCTAAAGAAATAGGGAAAAGCAACATGGGTCCCACCTTTGGAAAGTCTTCAATTTCTTGTTTGTGGCTTTATGCTTAGGTGAGAAGTGCAATCTGTCCTACGTATTTGAGAGCAAATTTATCTGGACCCTGTCTACCACATTACTCAAAATTTCACCCAAGACTGAAAATCTTCCATTCAAACTAGCATGTCTGGTCACCTTGGACAACTTTCTTGGTAAGGACCTAGTCTTGAAAATCTTAGTAGGGAAGTCTGTGACTCTCTAGGGTGGTCTTAGGAAGGCGGTACAGGGGTGGGCAAGAGTCTGACTTAGCCAGGATAATTTGCTGGATTCAGGTGTGGAGGCAGGGATAAAGTAGGAGGCAAAAAGGGCATGGCTCTGTGTCATTTTCTGCTCATAGGACAATGCAAGCACCCATGTGCCAGGGCAGAGCTCTAGCCTGCTGGGTCTTGTCACCTCCCTGTGAATGAGTCAGTGTTGCTCCCGGCTACCCTGAAAGGCATTTGGGGTTTGTAGGAGATGAAATAGGGAATCTGAAGCAGATAGCCTTGCTTCAAGAGATTTGCAGGGAAGATGTGTGCCTCCTAGAATGTTTCCCATCTAGCTCTGTAGGAGTTTCCATCCTTCTTTTGCCCTCTCAGCTTACTTAAACTTTTATCCCTTTCACCTTATCATGGGCCTTAGTCAGTGGGAAAAGAAGGGAAAAGGGTGAGGGGGCCTGGGGAGAGTTAAAGAACTTGTGGGGATATATGGATTTGCTGTCTGTCCTTAAATCCCTTCTGGGACAAAGTGTAGGTGTGGAGAGGAGGATGAGTGAGTGGGTGGCAGAACAAATGCTTCTTGAACCACTTCTCTCGCACCCACCCTGGACCCTTGCTTGTTGTTAATCTCTGTGTTGTTCCTCTCTCCCATTTAAAGCATAAGCATGTATACACATGTAATTTCCTATCAATGGAATCTACCTTAAAACTGGTTTTCTTCCTTAATGCTGTTTTGCAATCTTTTTTTCACCTTTTTTCCCAGGTTTATTGAGATGTAATTGACATGTACCATTGTGTAAAGTTTATATGATGATTTGATATACATATATATTATTAAATTATTACAATATGAGTAACACATCTGTCTCACGGTTACCTATTTGTATGTGTGTGTGGTGAGAATCTTTTTTCATTTGTATGTTATAGACATCTTTTCATGTCAATAAATACAGAATAGCTGAAGTATAGTTCTGTGTGTTAGATATACAAGAATGCATTTTAGTCTCTAAAATATTCTCTAATAAAATCTATCTCATCTGTTGTCAATGGGACCTCCCCTGATTCCCTTACTTATACTTATAATTGTAGCAAACCCCCTTCCTTTCCTCACTCTTTTCTCTCCTTTATTTTTCTCTGTAGCATTTAGCACCACTTGATAGACTGCAAGTTTTTCTTATTGCCTAATACCCTCCATTAGAATGTAAGTTCCATGAGATAGGGATTTTTTTCTTTATTGTCCATTTGTCTGTATTTGCTACTGAGATTACTTCCTGGTACACAGTTGGTGCTCAGTAAATGTTTGTTGAATGAATGAATGTATTGGACTTTTGGTATACCCATTGGGTTATTTGCAATATTTTTGTTATTATGTACATTCTGTGCTAAGCATCTTATATATAATCTTTGCACATTTGTCTTCTTCCCTCCTTAGGATAAATTCCAAGAAATGGAGTGATTGAGTTGAAGGATATGCACACTTAAAACGCTGATTTTTGGAGCCAAACTACTCTTAAGAATGTTGACTTCTACCAACACCAAATAAGACTGCATATTTCTCCACATCATCAGTAATGCTGGGTTGTGTGTTTTTATTTTCCCCGTCTGATAGGTGAAAAGTGTTCTTGCCATTATAACATGGCAGTTGAGACTGTGACTCTGGGACCGGCCTGTTGGGGCCTGAATTCCAATTCAGCCATTTACCTTGTAACCTTGAGTAAGTCATTTAAGTACTGTCCCTCAGTAAAGTAGGAATAGTGATAACACCGATTTCATGAGGCATAGATCAATTAATCCAAGTAAAATGCTTTGAGTAGTAACTAGACATGGCAGTCAATAAGTATGATTTATTTTACATTTCTTCAAATATTAAAGATTGAACATCTTCTCAAATGTATTTTCAACATTTATATTGTTGCTTTGAATCACTTATGTCCTTTGGACATTTTCCCTGTAATATTTTCTTAATAATTTGTAAGAGCTTAAGTGTTGTTGACTTTTATGATGCAGAATTGTTGTTCCCAGTTTGTCATTTATCTTTCAACTGTTAATGCAATTTTTTTGCCTAGAAAACATTTTTAGACAGAGTAATCTTTTCTCTTAGTTTTTTCTGCTCAATGTTTAGAAAAGGCATACTTCCCTCTCTCAAAAGTATAAAAATAGTTACTCATTCTCTTTGAGTACTGTGTATGTATATTTTTAAATCTTTAAATTTTAATATTTAAGTCTTTAATCCATCTGGAATTTGTTTTTATATGAAGATAGCAGTTGAGATCTGGCTCTAATTTCTTTTCAGTTGGATGGTATCTCAAACCCATTTTTTGAGAAAGAAGAAATGGGAGCAGCAGCTTTTAATCTATTCTTCCTTCCCCTAAATTAGAAGTAGAATATCCTAGAGATGGCAGATCTCCATTTCAGAGAATGAATTTAATGTTTGGAGTCAGTCAGTAGTCATTCAGTTGCTAAGCTGTGGGATGAATATGCTATGTAAAGCACTTTGGGATCAGAACTACAGCTCAGATCTGAGTGCTAATACTGCTGAACACACTGGTGCAGCTTCTCTGCTGGCTCTAGCAGTTCCTCCTAAGTGGATCCTAATTTGGGGATAGCTTTGAAGGGGTCATTCTTAGTTTGGAATGATAAGCTTTGTTTCTGTTTCAAGAAACAAAGGAAGTGACTATAGCAGGTATTTCCTCACTCCAGCTTGGGGGTATTGATCAGGTATTGATAGGAGATATTGAATGGTAATAAACCCATTGTGTTCTAGCTCTGCCCTCATCAGCCCTTATTGGAAGTCAAGTCCCATCTAGTCTTTTGCTTCTGACTCAAAATGGAGGGAGGATGATTCCTAATAACAGGGCATTCACGTATCCCATGGTAGCTACTGTCTGCCAGAGATGATAAAGAAGGGTAGCTAACTCTTCCATGGGCCTATATTATGTGCCAGGAACTCTTCTAAGCACCTTACACATATATAAACTCTTCATCAGGTAGGTGCTCTGTACTGGATTGAATAGTATCTCCCCTAGAACTTATGTCCATAGTTGTTATTTGGACATAGTCTTTATAGATGTAATCAAGATTAAATCATATTGGATTAGGGTGGGCCTTAATCCAACGACTGGTGTTCGTTTGAAGAAAGGGAGACACACACATGCAGGGAGGGCAGCCATGTGAAGATGGAAGCAGAGATTGGAGAAATGCTGCTACAAACCAAGGAATGACAGGCATTACTGGCAACCACCAGAAGCTGCAAGAGGCAAGAAATGATTCTTCCCTAGAGCCTTCAGAGGGAACATGGCCCTGCTAACATCTTGACTTTGGACTCTAAGAGAATAAATTTATGTTGTTTAAAGCCACCCAGTTTGTAGTATTTGTTTCGGCAGCCCTGGGAAACCCATACATACTCTCTTTATCATCTCCATTTTCAGATAAGGAAACTGAGGCCCAGAGAGGTCAAATATTTGATGATCTCTCTAGGTCACTGCTCTGCTGGCTGGGCACTTACTCTGAAGATCCTCCTGTTGGCTGTTGTCCTTCCCCACCTTCACTAAGGCCATCTGCTTTGTGGTGGTGCTGGGGCTGAGCTGCTGGATGGTCCCTTTCCCAACACAGCAGGCCACAGCTTTTCACCATTCTTGCCTACCGCACACCCTGAAGTGAAACTCCTCTCAGAAGACTTCTGGCTGTAGCCTGATCATTTCAGCAGATCTCCTCCTAGTCCCACCCCTCCAGGTAAAATCAGCCTTTTGTTTTTCATTCCATATTATATCAGAGAAATGTTGGTGACCTATGGTGGGAGGATCACCTAACTTCTGGCAATTGGCCTGCTATACTTCCTAGAATTCCTGTCTACTAGACAACTCAAGTCTTGTTTTTCTTTGGAGCTTTTAGGATCTCGCACATATCTCACTTGTGACATACCCCAGTCCTTGAAGCAGAGAAGGAGCAGCTTCATGGCAGCATTGGCTGTAAAGGCCTTGGTCATCTGTTCTTAATGAACTGAACCACCCCAGTGGCTCTCTCCTGTCAGAAGAGTAGGGGGAAATGTGCATTATCTGACCCAGTTCATTCATCTCTCTGAGCAGCTACTTGTCTAACCATGTTCTCTTCTGCAGCATCCCAGAAGAGGTTTCCTTCCTCTGCGTCCCATTACTGGCTGTGGAATCTTGTCTATTTTCCAAAACAGGCTTTTTGCTTTGGCTCCTGCTCTTTTTCTCAACTGTTCTCACTAGACTGTGGGCCCTATGAACTCAAACCATACCTGTTTTGTTTGCTGCTGTATCCCAGGACCAAGCCAAGACATGGCACTTAATAGCTCTTCAAGATATGTTTATTGAATGAAGAAATGAATATTGACCTTGAAGCTTTGTAAACCTGATTTTCCTTGCTTCTTGCTGAAGGAAAAGACCAGATTAAGAACTTCAGAGTTCCTAAGCAATAAAAAGATTATGATGTCCCTCATACTTTCAGCTCTCAGTATGTAGTTCAAAAACAGTATTAAACATAAAGTATAAGGAAATCCAGCAAAATTCTGCTTTTTTTCCATGGTGACACTTGGATACATATAATTTAAAACATTTGTTACTGTCTCTGCTTGGCCATTTCCGTAAGCATATGCTATGGGATAATCCTGCCTGGACCAGCCCCTCCCTCACCTTGGACTTCACCTTCATTTCTTCTTTACTCCACCTGTTGAAGCTGCCAGCCAGCCCCTTTCACCTAACAGGAGTGCCTGGCTCCTGAGACTCAACCTGGGTTAGTGCCCCAGGCTCCTTGGGACTTGCCAAGAAAGTCAAGTAGAACATGCATACTCCTAGAGAATTCCTCAGAATGAGAATCCCTATGCTGAATAGTGATTTGTAGTCAGCATAGCACATTGTGCCAAGTGATTACACTTAGGCTGTTGTTAACCATGTCTGCTTCTGTGATCCTGTATGTTGTAAAGCTCAGACATTTGCCTGTGGCCCTCCTTTCTGGATCACTAAGAAGTCAAGATGTAAGCCTACTTCTGCCTCCTGTAAATCGGGGCCTTGTTAAGATCCTTTGGAAAAATGAGAAGTCGAAAGGCAGGAAAGGACATTAAACCAAAAGACAGCTGATAATAGGTATCATTACCTTTTTCCTTCTATCATCTTAGGATTTATTCTACTCTCTTTCTGGCTTCCTGAAATAGGTACTTAACTCATATAATTTCTATTCTTTTTACTTTATAATATAAAATTTTAAACCAATAGCTTTTCTTTGAAGTACTACTTTTGCTGGATATTATATTTCAATAAGTAGTGTTTTCATTGTCATTCAGTTTCTTTTTTTATTGGAAACTTTTTATTTATTTTATTAAGGTATCGTTGATATACATTCCTATGAAGGTTTTACAAGAAAAACAATGTGGTTGCTACATTCACCCATGTTACCACCCGTACCCTGTTGCAGTCACTGTCCATCAGTATAGTAAGATGCTAGAGTCACTACTTGTCTTCTCTGTGCTACACTGTCTTCGCCATGACCACCCCTAATACCATGTGAACTAATCGTAATACTTCTCAATCCCCTTCTCCCTCCCTTCCTCCCCACCCCTCCCCTTTGGTAACCACTAGTCCCTTCTTGGACTCTGTGAGTCTGCTGCTATTTTATTCCTTCAGTTTTGCTTCATTGTTATACTCTACAAATGAGGGAAATCATTTGGTATTTGTCTTTCTCTGCCTGACTTATTTCACTGAGCATAATACCTTCTAGCTCCTGTCATTCCATTTTTAAGTATTTTAATCTTTGGTCCTTGACTTGTTTAGTAGTGCTTTTTTAATGTCTAAATTTGCAAAGATTTTAAAGTTTTTTTTTTATATATTCTAATTGTTTGAAATCTGTTCAGTGTTTAATCTAGTACAGGGTAATGTTTTATAAAAATCCTGTGTTTGATTAAAATGTTTATTCTCTAATTTTGGATGCAGAATTCTATGTCCACTAGGTGAAGATTATTCATTGTGTTATTACCTATTTTCTGTCTTCTGTCTACTTGAGTATATGCACAGTGAAAACAGTCTATAACTGCCTTCTTCACTGCTATATCCCCATGACCTAGAACAGTGCCCAACACATTGTATTAATGTAATAAATATTTGTTGAATTAATTAAATAAATGAACTACTAAAAAAAAAAGATCCTTTGGAGAAGCAAGGTGCGATTCGGAAGTGGAGCCACAGCAGAAGGGGTAGCCAAGTCTCCCAAGTTCTTTTCTGGACCTGTTGATTTGAGTTGTGATATTCAGCAATCTGAGTTGCTGTCCTGTAGCACTCATTTTCAGCACACAGTGATACAGGCTGTGCTTGCAAGGGAAGAGGCCAACATGCCAGTCCCCTCCTCTAGGACAGCCTCACCATTAGATGTCCTTCCTTTCATTTGAATTTCCAGGCTCCTTTTGTAAATGTAGAATAGGAACCCAGTAATGTCATCCACATTTTACTTGAATTCATTTAATCAGAATTGCTTTCCATCTAGCAGGGTGATTAGATCAGCTCTTCTAAGGGATGGGAACTTTGATGGGGTTTAGGGAAGGTTTCTACATCTTGGCCTTGGACAGTCAAGAGAATAACGAGGTCTCCAGGTGCATGTTGAACTAGATGGGAAAGAAGAAACTCATCCCTGGAAAGCCAGGCATGTTATTGGAGGTTTTTTGTATACTTTCTTATTTAATTATAATGCAAACCAGTGAAGTATCATCTCCATTTTTGCACACAGGCAAGCTGAAAGTCAAAGAAGTTACATAATTTGTCCAAGGTCAGACACCTAATAGACAGCTGAGCTAGGATTTATTTCTTCTCAGGTCTGTCCAATTCCAAAGCCCATGATATTTTCATAAAGCATTTCTGTCTATCACAAGATTTAGGAAAGGAAGGTGAAGGAAGAAAAGATAAGGAGATACCATGTTTGAGACATGTTTAGCCAGGGTATCCTGTTTATCTGTTTATAGAATACTAAGTTCTATATATAGGGATGCTGCAACAACATAAGTGGGAAAGATACCAATTGGCTGTAGGGGAGGATTTAAAAAAGCCTTTGTTCTTTACCTCTAGGTCTTCATTGCAGCATTTTCCTCAAGTGTCAAAACACCACTGGTAACTCTGGTTTTCTGCTTAAGAGGCCGTCTTCTATCATCCATATAAAATCTGTTGATGTGTCTTAAGGAGTAAGCCAGGCTGGGGGCAGGGAGGGTGTGGTGTGCCCTTGTTGTATGTTCTGGAGCTGTTGGCACCTGCTATATGACTATTACAGTGAATTATTATTGAGTAAACAAGAGGTGTCTCTTGCCTTCCTAAGGGAGACCAGATGGCAGTGGTTGCTGGCCCAGATCAGGGGAGCCTGACTTTTGGGCTGGCAGAGGAGCCAGCTTGAGGGTGTCAGGTCATGGAATAGAAGAGACAGGCCTAGTCTGTTAAGTGGTGCAATTCCAGGGGCACTATGAATATCTCCTGTCAGTATAAGAACAAAGAAAAAACTGAAGAAACAAAACAGCAGCAGACTCACAGAACCCAAGAATGGCCTAACAGTTACCAAAGGGAAGGGGACTGGGGAGGGTGGGTGGGAAGGAACTGATATGGGAATTAAGGGGCATTACGATTTGCACACATAATATAGTGGGGTGCACAGGGAAGGCAGTATAACACAGAGAAGACAAGTAATGATTCTATAGCATCTTACTATGCTGATGGACAGTGACTGTAATGGGGTTTGTGGTGGTGACTTGATAAATGGGGGGAGTCTAGTAACCATAATGTTGCTCATGTAATTGTATATTAATGATACCAAAAAAAAAAGTCTCCTACCCCTTAAAGACTTGCTTCAGTTACTTGCTGTTGGTTGAAACCCACAAGTGAAAATTTTTTCCCTTGATTTAAGTTTTTGAGACCCTGTTAAAAATGAAGAGACACCAAGAACGGGTTTGACTGTGAGCATCTTGGTCATGAAGTGGAAGCATGAATGAATTTTTAAGATTGATTTCTGAGAACTAGACTACAGGGGCAGAGAAAAGAGGGCAGTGTGTCTGCAGTCATAAGGACAGGAAGAAGTCACCACTGAATTTGAGATGAATTTGAAAAGAGAAGTTGGGTCCCTAATGAAACATTTTGTTTCCTTCATGTTTTTGTGTGAGAAAAGACAAACAGCTGAGGGTGGTGGGAATTGGAGGTTCTTGATTCCCAAGGAGGGGTGTTGGGTAGAGATTTTTCCACCAGTGTGATGTGTATATGGCACATTGTTGTGTGGAAAGCAGCTGACAGGCAGAATGTCAAGGAGTATGGGACCTTTGAGTCTGCGGTTTGCTGTGATGTCCTCAGACAAGACTGTCACAGATCTTAGGAAGCAGGAGATAGCTTCTGAGAAATGATGTACAATGGTGGTGCAAAAGAGGCCACCAATGACAACATGAGCAGGGTACTTCCTCAGTTGCTGCTGGTCACAGACAACTTCTGGTCTTGATTTCCCAATGAGCTGTGCTGAGGTAGGTTTTACCGGAAAGCAAAATAAGCCATGTCAAAAGCAGTGACAAAGCACTTGGGGTGTCCGTGCAAAGGTGTGGGGCATTTCCCTCTTGTCTACTCACTCTGTGGAGCCAAAATAGTCCAGAGGCTGCCAGCATAGAACCTGTGGTTTAGATCTACAACTTTTTTGGCCTTAATCTCTGAAGAGAACCTTCCTAGTTGATTTTTCATCATCTTTGAATTACCAGTACTCTCAAATTGCTTTTGTGATTTGAATTTTCACATCTTTTCCTCCTCCAGGGAGTCTCTATCAGAGCAACTCAAATCACAGTGTCTTTTCCAGCTCCTCACTGTTGGGTTCATGGGTGCCCTTCACCCTCAAGCTTCAACTTCTACTCTGTCCACAGTCCTACCCTAAGTCCAGAGCATTTTCTTTTGGATCAGACTTTGGCTTCATTCAGGCCTCTGGGGTTCTTACTTATTTCTTCTGGCACATTTCCCTATAGGGCTGTCCTAGAAATGGTCTCCACCTCTCACCTAAAGTTTGACTGGGTCTGGACCTCCTTCCTTACTGGAATCAGCCAACTCTGTGGAAGTTTCTGGATGTAACATACCCCTTCTTTCTCCCTAACCACCAAAATCCCATACACCAGATTAGTGACATAGTTGAACCTGCAGATCACAAGGATTTTGGAGCCAGCACCCTCAGCAGGGAGGGACTCCTGGGCATGTGAAGAAGTGGCCTGAGTGACAGCTCTGTCCACCAGTCCCTGCCTGTCCTCCATTTTACCTTTATTTTGGCTTTTCCTTCAGAGAATAAAGTTTTGTGTAGTTATCCTGCTGGGACCCACTAGCCTTGTCTAGGACTGCAACCCTGCTATCAACCCCTCACCATAGGCTGTGACTTTTGCTTTCCAGCCTCTTTTGCGCTACATGCCTTCTGAGATACTAGAGCCTTTTCTTGCATCTAGGCGTCAGTAGGTAGAGTCCTGCCCATGCACAGAGCTCCCAGTGTTGACCCCCCTCAACTGTATACTCTTGGGCTAATTGGATGTCATGCTGGCCTGTACAGCTGTGCCTCTGGAACAAGGCCTTTAGCGTAGTCAAACCCTTGTCCTGAATTTCATGCTGGCTGTCCAACTGCCTATGCCTCAAAAAGAGCTTTTTCATATGCATTTATAAAATTCCAGAAGGAAGATAGAGAGTATAATGTTTTCCAACCTTATTTAACTAGAGAACCAGTTTTTTTTTTTTCCTGAAGGACTATTTGTTGAGATCTCACTGAATATGGTATTTGGTGGAGTATAATATTGGAAAGTATGTGGCTTTAAAGAAATGGATGTCAAATGAATGAATTCCAGGTGAAGGTAATGTGATAGTAAAAAAGTTGTTTGTGGGAAGGAAATCACTCATGGTGCTTTTCATTTAACAAATGCCCACTGAGCACCTACTATTTACCAGTCTCTCAGCTGGAATCACACCATGTATTTGATACTCACCATGTGTCTGCATAAAGCCCACTGTCATCTGGAGTGGGGCCCTAAGGTGGGGAGGAAGTATGAATTCTACCTTCTTTTTCTCATGTTTTGATGCTCTTCCCCATTCATCCA